ATATATATTATATATATATATATACATATATATACATATTATGTGTAGATATGTTATATATGCATATATATATATATATATGTATATATATTGTATATATATTATATATATATATTATATATATATATATATACATTTGTGTGTGCGTGTATATATTTGTATATACACACACATGTATATTCCATATATGATGGAATTGTGAAGATCTTTATACAAACATATGTCTCAATAAACAATATAAAGGGACGCGGTTCAGATTTGTGTGTATGTTTGAGTAAGATCCAGAGTGACTCGAGATATTAAGAACCAGTGAGTAAACACGGCGATTTCACGACTAACACAAAGGAAGCTAAATGAAGAAAATATGCAACATTGACAAAACCTAAGACGTTCCCCGGTAGGAAATGTTGTAGGAATAATCACGTGTCAGCATATGTTTGCAAAAAAAAAATAGTGCACGAGTTGTAGAATGGTAGCGAGTTCAAATAACTGTCACAGCAAGACTACAAATCGAAAACGTGTCAATACATGTCAGGAAATTGTAATGATGGAAATATGTAAGGGAAATTATTGATACTCGAAGGGCCATATTGCAGTTTAACTTTCTTGAATTGTTTATTTCCTTGTTTTTCATTTTTTCAGGTTTAATTAGATTGAATCCTATTATTGATGGTGTTAATCAAACCTTTAAAACATTATCGCATTAGATTTTGTGCGATAATAACAATCTCTGTCTATTCTTGTTACGTGATTTTGAAAATTACTCTTCTCTGATCTTAAGTGTAAAAATCGTATACAAAATTCAGCTTTAGGGATTCGAAGAAAAAAAATTCTTTGTCCTTTTCCCATTCTTTGTCTTCGTATCATATTCATATTCAATTATCATTATTAGTTACCCTTCTTGTCTACGTATCATTATCATTCACTATTCTTGTTATTATCATTATTAGTAGTACTATTCTTATTATTATCATTATTATCATTATTTTCATTATTGCTGATATTATTTTTGAATTTGCCATTGTTTTCATTATCATTACACCAGTTACACAAAAAACATGATATGAATGATGTAGTGATGTGGACGAATAAAAAAACAAGGTAAATAAAAAAACAAAGTAAAGTAAATAACGCACTATTGTTGTTTACACATACGCATTACGTGAAAAAATTGAGAGAGAGACAGAGAAGGAGAGAGAGAGAGAGAGAGAGAGAGAGAGAGAGAGAGAGAGAGAGAGAGAGAGAGAGAGAGAGAGAGAGAGAGAGAGAGAGAGAGAGAGAGAGAGAGAGAGAGAGAGAGAGAGAGAGAGAGGAGGAGAGAGGTGAGAGAGAGAGAGAGAGAGATGAGAGAGAGGAGATGAGCAGAGAGAGAGGGAGAGAGCCGTGAGGGTCTATATAAAGGAGAAGCCAGCGAGTACGCGATAAGATAACCAGTCTTTAACTTTTCCCTGATAGTGTTCTATATCGAGTAGGTGCGAGGTCGGTCTTGAATCACATCATCCACTCACTTACTCACCTGTTCACGCATCTTCATTAACTCACCTGGCCTACTCTAGGTCTCCTTCCCCTTCCTCGCTCACTCACTTATTTACTGTTCCCTCATTAGCACACATACTCTCGCTCAGTTATTCAATCGCACGTGATATAATATGACAGGTATACGCACGCATATGAGTGATTGCTCTCAATTCCGATTTCTCAATATCTCGTCCTTTCCTCCCCCGTCCTGTCTCCGACTTCCTTTCTCGCCATGTTTATGAAAATAAGACATCATCGCGCGAGATATAATATGACAGGTTTGTAATATCGCTTCAGGTCACCCATAATGAAGACAGGCAGCCAGAGATAGAGGGAGGAAGACGAGAAGGCCGGGGCATAAAGCTGCTGTCACACTAGCACTTTTTTCCGTCATTTTTTGACAATTTTATTTAACACAAATACAAACATTCTCGAATATAGCTCTTGATTTGACTATGCTTGGCTAAAAAAAAAGTTGACGGAAAGGTTTTCAGACGGAAACGATCATTATCGTCTGACTGGAAAATCGACAATTCGCTCAAAAATGGACAACATTTCTGAAAATTGTCAAAAAAATTGACGGAAAAAGTGCTAGTGTGACAGCACCTTAAGGCGTGAGCAGAGGGGAGGCAGGGAGGCAGCAGATATGGGCCAGGCTGCTTGATATTGTGATCTTATGGGGTGGGAGAGCAAGGGTTGATTGGGTGCATACGTAGTGCAAATACACAAACATACACGCACATAATCTGCGTACATATCAACAACACACACACACACACACACACACACACACACACACACACACATATATATATATATATATATATATATATATATATATATATATATATATATATATATATATATATATATATATATATATATATATGTGTGTGTGTGTGTGTGTGTGTATGTATATACGAGTGTACATATATATATATATATATATATTATATATATATATATATATATGTATATATATATATATTATGTATGTATGTATGCATGTATGCATGTATGTATATATAAATATACACATACATAAGTGTGTGTTAACCTAGTGCCATTTCTTGAGGGGAGTGTGAGCTTCCTTAAGCATGACTCCTCCTGTAAGTATGATCAGTAAGAGTCTTATTCAATTACTGTTCCATCAGCTCCTCAGCTGAGTGAGTAATCACGTAGGAATGCATTTGATCTACGCCAAATACAGCCCACGTCTGCACACACACACACACACACACACACACACAACACACACACACACACACATATATATATATATATATATATATATATATATATATATATATATATATATATATATGTGTGTGTGTGTGTGTGTATGTGTGTGTGTGTGTGTGTGTGTGTGTGTGTGTGTGTGTGTGTGTGTGTGTTTATATCTATATATAGCTATTGCGAAAGACCACAAGCACATAACGCAAAATACAGCCTTTATTAGTATATCCAAACCAACGTGGTTTCGCGGCAATGAAGCACTGGCTAATGGATGCTACTCCCCCTCCCCCCCCCGCCCCTCAGCCTTCCCCGATAAGGCGCCGTATTACAGCATCTCAAATCTCATCTCCCTCATTACATCTTGTAGGTTATGAGAGGGAAGGCACTCATCATCTTTAGCGTCCCGTGATTACCTGTAATAGGGTACTTTTAGGCACCTTTATTCGTTGCCGAGGAAACCTGGATGGCCTGTAGCGGAGACCGGGCCTGAGAGAGTAGTAGCCTGTAGGTTGGATGCTTAGCGTGTGCGTGTGTGTGTGTGTGTGTGTGTGTGTGTGTGTGTGTGTGTGTGTGTGTGTGTGTGTTGTGTGTGTGTGTGTGTGTGTGTGTGTGTGTGTGTGTGTGTGTGTGTGTGTGTGTGCCCAGGATTATCATCATGGGCATGCCTTCCTAACCCACTAAGTGACCCTCGCTCAAAGTTTCTTTCGCTCTTAAGAAGAAAGAAAAATAACAAACCCAAACGCTTACACAACCAAATCCCTCCCTTTGGATAGCGAATACAATATAGACTATAAGTAATTCGGAGAGAAACTAGCTTCGGTATTTTGCTGAACCGCCAACTCGAGCGGTGGAGCGAGGTGCTAGCTAGTAATTATATTTACAATTTAAGAGACATGAAAGCGACGGAAATAAATAACAAAACCGAAGCAAAACAAAACAAAACTTTCCAACGATCATATTCTGGTAAAACCGAAAGCCGTGGTTCGCTGCCTGTTTGTGCTTTTAGGCGAAGATAAGGTTAAATTTTAATGAAAGTGAAGTGAATTACGCTTCCATAGTGTGGAATTACCAAGTGAATTACGCCAACATAGAAAAAAGTAATTTGCTCGTTACATGCATTATATACGAAGATGAATATTTAACAGTTACAAAACTACGTAAAAAGGAAACTGAAAGTAAAATCAAGTAATTTGATTCCACAAATATACATATGAATATAAATGAATAAATATATATATATATATATATACTATATATATATATATATATATATATATATATATATGTATGTATGTATGTATATGTATATGTATGCATATATGTATATATATATATATATATATATATATATATATATATATATATATATATGTGTGTGTGTGTGTGTGTGTGTGTGTGTGTGTGTGTGTGTGTGTGTGTGTGTGTGTACACATACTGAGAACCAGAGATAGAGGGGAGCTACAACTGCCGGGTATTCAAAATGAAATAACCATAATGCGCATTATATAAAAAAAACGTCTGACATTTCAATCTAGAAATTAATTTTATCTCTAAAACCTCTAAAATCCAGGAGCTTCCGGGGGTTTCGCCCACTGGTCTCCCACCGGGACACTGCTCCTGCACCCCGCCATGGGTCTGCAGCCCCCAGGATCCTCGGCTATTTTTTATTTTATTTTTTTTTTTTTTGGGGGGGGGCTACTTTGCCCCCTCCACTTCAAAATACCTTCCTACTCCTGTGAAAAAATAAACACAAAGGGCTACAGTTGATCGCAATCATGTACAGTAGGTACACTTCAGAAAACTCATATACATGGACTAGAACGAGTTCAAGGCTCAAGCACGAGATCGACGCCAACTTTAAAGTAGTTTAAATACGAATAAACTGTGAATAGATAAAAGCTATTGCACTGGAGGAAAGAAGAAATGTTAAAGAAACTAGTTTTCCGAAAAAGGACCATTGATAAATAAGACAACCTTACAGAAAGCAATGCATGTGCCAGAAGCATCCTTCCTTTCTGAAAGTTATAAGATAGCTTAAATATAGCAGACAACCCACACACACACACACTCGAGCTCATTTTTTCCCCCTATATTCGCTAAGTAGGAACACACTAGTCTCCCCTTCACCCTTGCTAGACGCCCGTGCTCTGTGGATCGCGAGGGCAGGGAGCACGTGCACCACAGAGAACGGAGGGAAGTTTGTTTGTAAACACGATGGCCGGGCTGAGCGGGCTCGTCGCCGACTA